TTATACGCAAATTACGTTGATTTATCTAATTCTAATCAATATTTCTAAACTTAGTATTTTACTTTTATAAATATAAAAAACAACTAAATACTCACTCAATCACTATTCAATTTCTATAAAAATCTATTTTTTAATTTCACTAATTATTAAAGTAATTTGTGCATTATTCATTAATTAATTAATTTATAAGCCTGATTTCTAAAGTTCATAGATTATTCTTTTTCAAAAAAAAAGACATTAGTTTGAAATTGAATATGGAAAAGCGTCGAGCCCTGGGGAATTGCTGACGATTAGGGGAGGGGTGGCGCGCATGAACATCCGTTGGACAGCGGCGATGTGGGGGTGTTTTTGGAGTGGACGAATAATTAGAATTATTGCTGGGGAAGAGGAGGAGGAACTGGTTTCGGCGAATTTGCAGACTTTGGTAATTTGTGAAATGGTGATGGTGGTGGTGGCACACGCACGTAAAGTATGAATTGTATCTAGACGACGACAACAACAAACAACAACAGTTGGAGTGAGTGCGAGTTTTACAGGAACGGATGTCGACGCAGTTGGCGTGGGTGGAAGGGTGGTTTTTAGGGTTGGGATGGGAGGTGGGATTGTATATAATTAATCTGGAATACCATAGATATTAATAACCATAAATTACAGCCGGCAAACAGCATCATCCAATTCCATTATTGCACCAGGTACAACTACATACATCCATACATACACACGTACAGATATACGTACATACACTCTCGAGTATTTAATTTCGCAATTGCTCCCATAACTCAGCGCCAGTTATTAAACAAACGCGAAACCAACCCGTTCCCTCCCTTCCTTTCTCATCCCCAACCCACTCTCATCCGACCGCCTACTACAAACGTTATCTAATTTATTAATCCCTGTGACTCGAGAAACGATCGTCACCTGACACCGAACGAAGTACACAAGCACAACCAATTAATATGTACATAGTCTACATAGATCATAATTTACGTAATTAGAAAGAAACATGCAAACAAATTATTTACAAAAAAAAACTTAAATTACTTTCAATTTACGATAAAATTCTCATTACTTGAGAAATTATTAACCAAAAAAAAAACAATATTTTTGAAAAAAAATTACTTCTTGAATACTTCTTATTTCCTAAACTGAAAAGCTCTAAACTTACCTATGAACATATAGTAATATTCACAGTAACGCTGTTTCGTTATTAATTACTTTTTCATTATGACAATGAACAAGAACAAGAGTAATCGTGAGAAATAAGTGGGAAATGTGTGTATGAAGGAGAAATGAAACAACAGAAGTAAAGTATTAAATATTATGTACAGAGTGTGCGTTTAAGAAGTGTAATATATAGTAATGAGAGGTTTTCGCAAACAAATGAATAAATCAAAGAAGAAGAGGAACAACAAACGGTTTTCTTCGCACAAGTTTCGCTCGCTAAGTGTTTATACGGGGGGGGTGGAAATGAAAGGAAGGAATTGGTCGGATACGGAAAGTTTGCGTTTTAGTTTAAGGAGCGGCGATAAATCAAGGTGGCAACGGAGAACAATTAAAGTTGGCGAAAATCGCGGCGCATCTGCCCAGTTTGAATTACGGCCAACTAAAAGATTAGAAAGCCGAATTTATGGAGAAACAAGAGAAATAAGAAGAAACAGCAGCAGCAGCAAAGCCCCCGCGGTTTGTTGTCGCCATTGGAAACGAATCACACCCAATCGGAGACGTGGCCTCTCTTTCGCACGGCGTTCGTGTGTCCCTCCTTGTACTTGTACCAAATTAACCCTTCCATCTTTGACGATCCCTCTCCGGCTGCGGAAGAAGCTGCTGAGCCCGATCCTGCGAAATCATACATAATCAACTCCGGCCGCGTCTCGTCTATTTTATATATATGTATGTGTGCGCAAATTGCAATCGCTTTGTGCAAACACGTAGTACACCCTCAAAATCAACCCCCCTTCCAACCACCGCCCGCACCCAAAATAAAAGAAGAGAACCCAGAAACCCCGGAGACAATTACCGCGAGATTAGGGCGCGCTCGAACAACCGCAATAATTGCGTGCCATCATCCGTTCCGCGGCAAATCGCAACGCAAACACCATCATCTTGCGCTATACGATAATAATTAATTGGAGCAGAGGAGGACGCCCTCAGGAAATCGTCGATGTGGGTTTGCTTTCGCCCGATACCCACAATTGTAGGCAGCCAATTAAATCGCAAACGCGATCATCTCTTTGTCCTCCTCTCTCTCTCATTAATTTACTCTTCTCATTCTCCCAACGAAGATGATAATAATCCTGAGGGTTGCCATAACTCAGTTTCCTCCGAATCCATTTCACATCCGAAACGGAATCAACACAATTGCAAAGTAAACGACATTCCCAAAACCGAAACGTTATTGACGATGAAGATAAACTTGGAAGATAATTACCGGTTTTGCTCGAATCCTTTTTCCTTTTCTGCAGAAAGTTGAATGGTGCGGCCTGAAGCAAAACAAAAAAATGTAATTAGTTTTGTTTTTAAATCATCCAACAAATGCTTAATTATACTGCTTACAAGAAACCTATTAATGTCAGTTATATTAGTACACTTAAAATATTATATTTTCTGCAGAAATACATCATTTTATCTTTGGCATGTCCATTTTAGCATGGTTGAGGAACAACAAAATGGAGTGGCCTCGCCTTCCTGCCTCCTCTCTCTCTCTCTCTTTATTTCTTTCTCTTCTCTCATCCGCACTGACAGAGATATATCTTCCGGATTTCTTTCTTTCCTTTTTACGGCCGTCGGTGAGCTTAAAGTAGTTTGGGCTATTTAGTCCATTTGTCTGGCGGATGGTTCTCGAGCGTAATGAAAAGAGCGGCGGGGAAATAGATTAGGGGCAGTTTGTGTTCGGGGACGGACCCGTTCGCTAATAAATCAAGGTGGTGGCGGCGGCGGCGGGAGAGAAGGAGGCGGCGCTCGCAAACCGGAAGCTGTCACTGAGATATGTGAGTGTTATCTCTGTCTCTTTCTCTCTATATCTCCACATCTCTCTTTACGAACGGCCATTTCCGTTCGACCAGAGAGAAACCCGGACTACATCCATCGACCATTCGTTTCCACCCGCACACTTTAACTCCCACATGGTGGAAAGAAAAACACATATAAATGTAGCAAAAAAAACAGAAAAAGAAGGAAAAGGGGAAAATGCAATTGTTTTTGCGGATGAAAATGAAAACGGCAGGATAATGAGTAAATCCGTTCGGGCGGTGGGAAGTAATTAGTCTTAGCGCGCTGCCCGACAACGGAAAAATCTCTTCGGTATATCCCCCGGAGAGGAGGAGGAAAAGGATGATGATGATGATGGCGGAGTGAAAGAGAGGGTTGCGGTTAACCCATTAAGCCGTGCCCAATAAAAGCAGAGCGCTAACAAGTAAATAATCTCCCGGATAATATAACGGTGGAAATTTATTTTCCGAGACATTTGCGCCAGTATTATCCTCTCTCTTCTTCTTCCTTTTTTTTTTCTATTCGGAATGCGCGAATCAAGCATCTGCTTAACGACCTAAATAAAAGAGTTTTCGCTGGAATAAATGGGATCCGGTTTTCCGGCTAATGGCTACGAGAGGGAGGAACCCCTACATCCGAAGAGTTAAAACGAAACGGACGGAGTGAACGAAAAAAAATATACATACCATATATAAACGCATATAAAAATGTGTGTAAATTGTGAAGGAATTCTTTCAAGACACCTGCGATTTTGTACTGTATGAATGAAAGAAACAAGCGAGGGTGGCTCTTCCGATGCAATAAATCACGTGGATGGAATCAATATGTCAACCGAGGATAAGTTGATGAATTGCACTTAATGCGACCATCCGCCCCCTAACCCTTAGCGCTTTTGTATTTTTTCCCTTCCATCTTTTATTTCACTTGACATTTCTCGTAATGGATACAATTTGAGAATAAATAACTTAATAAATTTGTATACATTACGAGCTAGCAATAGATTTAAAAATAACGTCCTATTTAAATAGAGGAGAGGATATTAAAAAAATATAATGAAGTATCCATCCAAACACGTATAAGCTTAATCCGACATAGTCTACTTTATAACGTACATTTTCCGAGCTCTCAAATATACACAAATTTAAAGGTTGAAATTCCTTAATCGCGATAACGTCGTAGATTGTAGTTTCGGACGTGCCACCAGCCCCCCTAGCATCGGTTCCCCAAAGGCAATGCGCTTTTCAATTTCGCGAGGATTTCGGCCGTTTTGGCACAACACGGATGAAAAAGAGGGGTGGTTGTAGGTAAGAACAAGTAATGGTCGCATCCTGAATTCATCACCGACAAGATTACGCGACGAGATTGTTTTACACACATACACGCAGATACATAAAGTAGAACATACAAAAAAATAAACTCGGGGGAGTGAAGTATAGGCGAAAACGAGTGAGAGCAGAAAGAAAGAACGGGGGTAAGGAGGATAAATCTCGGAGGAACTTTTCTCGCGGATGGTCGCATCCGGCGGGCGATATAATATAACGTAGAGAGAGAGGAGAGCGGAAGTGCCCGCTATTCACTGGCCCCGATAAAATAATATCCAAATACCGGAAGCAGGAGTGCAGTATTTTACGGGCCGGGGGCAGTTACCACGCCATTTAACTAACTCGGATATAACGCCATCCGAAGGACGAGAGAGGAGAAAAAAAGATACGAGAAAAACAAGAAAGCTGAACATGCTTCGCGTCAGTGGCACCAACGGAACATCGCCAATGGGAAAAAAAAACTAAACTCTTAGAAATGGACCAATCAAATAACGTGTTGGAATTTACCTTTTCCGGTTTCTTGGGAATCTTTGCACTAGGTGGAGGAGCCGGGCGCTCCTTGGAGGTCTTCTCCGTTGGAGCGCGATTTCCATCCACGTATTTGGCGGCCTCAACGCGCCGCATCTTCTCCACTTCGATTTCGTGTGCGATCAGCTGCTTATTGAAGTAAGTCAGCTGTCGAGAATCGCTCCTCGAATTTGGGAACTTCACCAGACCATTAATATCAGGATCTGAAACAAACAAACTTTGAATACGTCTTGATAATTACGCAGAGAATGAGCATGTCTTGTACCTAAATTGAAACTGTAAGTGCCATCCTGCTGACGTTCCTGTATGTAGTTCAGGTTGTAGTCAATCATGGTGGATACGACCCGTCCCATCTCGTCCTTTTCCTGCTTACTGAAGACGTGGAGGTTCACAGGTCGAAGTGTTGGTACCACGATTCTTGACAAGAGCGGCAACACATCGAGCAGCACGGATTTTCCGCCCAGAAAAACACGAGTTCCGGGCCGCACGCCTCTCAACACCTCCGTCATCAGAGCTTTACTCTTCAGAGCACCAGATCTTGCCTGAAACACACATTCCAAATTGATTTAATATTATATATTTCCTATTCAAATTAATCTTCTACTTTTAAATAAATCAACAATCAACTACTTTTCTTTCATAATGAATATTCAATATTTCATGAGTAGCAAACTGAATGTATCAGTATAGCAGCGTTTCATATAGATGCATGCAGCAGGAAAATGTGATGCTAAAGCAGTCAAGGGCTTTGTGCACGCGGGGATCATCGTATTAAACGTTTCGCGCGTACTAAATAGGAAGCAGGGGTCCTTGTAATACGCTCTGCTCGGCTGCATTAAGGAATACGAAAACAAAAACACACAAAAAACGGGAGCTATTTTTGCAGTGCATTGAAAGGCTTTCATTACGTCCGTCGCCTTTCATACTGAGTTGCTAAATCTCCCATCCTCCCTTGGCTCCTTCAGTGGACGTTGTAGGTGCATCCATCCACGGCCTTCCTCCTTTTGAGAATATGTGTTTTTATTACGCGCGCCCCGTGCAAACAAGCCGCCCGAACAACACAAGGGAGGAAATAATTAGCCCTCGTTTGAAATTCCCAGTTAAATAAGCCTCTTTATATCCCTTGCCCAAGACGTGATCCATAATTAAAAAAGTCATTTACGCCGCTCAGAATGCAGAGAGAAAAAAAATGTAAGAAAAGAAGTAGGGAATGAGACGGACGCGAGATACGTTTCGCAAAGAGTTTGCTATCGCTTATCACTTGCTTACACCGATGTACAATTATTTGGAAATGTCATATGCATGAGCAATAATTATTGAACTTTACAAGTAATAAAATGAGTAATTAGAATTCATAGAAAAGTGGACTAATCTAAATTGATACAATATATAATACTCACGTTGGCACCGGCGTTTGGATACGTAATCTTCTGCTTCTGGAAGCTTGCGAAAGCGTAGTTCCACATGACGAAACCGAACTGGAGGTAACCGGTGAGCGAGTAATTCTGCAGAGTTGCGATCTGCGTGCTTATAATATCCGAATAGCAGAACCACTCCAAAGCTAGACACGTGGAGTTCAGGGTGGAATCTTTGATCTGCATGGTGGGGTAGTTTTCGAAGACGCCCTGCGCCACCCTCTCGTAGTCGCCGAAGGCCGAAATCGTCGACACCACTTTATTCCAACGGCTGCCCAACGTCACCAGATCGCCCTTGGCTTTGGGCCGTTCGATCTCGAAGATGTCCTGCCAAACGCTGAACAGCCCCTTCTGCATGTCCTTCTGCCCGATGCTGGTCTTCTGCACGTCCGACAATGTGACAAAGTTTTTCTGGAACTTGAAAAAGTGAAGAAACGAGAGGCACGAGCGGATATCATTGCTCGATTTCTCGCCCAGAGCCATCAGCGTTCCCAGATCGGTTTTGATTCTCTCCTTATTCGAGATTTCCTTCAGTCGTTCAGCTAAACGTGCTGTTTTCGTAGGAGGAAAATGGACCACGAAGGCGATCTGTCGGAGCGCCCTCAGAGCAGGGACATACACGTCATTACATATGCAGATTATCGGTCGCTTCAACACGCTACCCTTCTGGGCTTTGCCTTTCTTGCTTTTACTCACATACGCACCATTCACATATTTAATTAAAAAATCTATGCTTGCTGTTGGTGCTCCGTCGATTTCATCAAACACCAAACAGTTGGGTCTCTTCTCGCTGTCCAGCACCGACGTCATTTGCGTTGCGTTCTCCAGGGAAGTCCGAAAACTCTCCGCGCTTCTATCATCTGAAGCGTTGATTTCTATAACTTTATAGCCGGCGTGCGAGGCCACCATGTGCGCCAACGTGGTCTTCCCGAGACCCGGAGGACCGCACAGTAGAGCAACCTTGTGTTGAGGTCGCCCAGACTCGTCCAGCTCTAAATTCAACTCGAAACGATTCTTGAATTTACCCTCTTCTTGAGGTTTCTTTGGCACAACCTTCGGTCGCCTATTAAACACGATCTTATCCCAGAGTTTAAGCCACTTGAGCAACGTTCTGTTAGTGCTTTCGTCTGAGAGCAGCTCCAAATATTTCCTCGGCTTATACAGATCCACCCAAAGCAAGCTCTTATCCTCCTCGATCGCCTTCGTCGCTTCTTCAACATTGTTCGATTCTCTGCACTCTTTGGACAACTGAAAAAGTAATTAATTAAATTTTCAAAAATCTAGATTGTTTTAGTGAAATGAAACACTTACAATTTCCTTAGCCTCATCCATGGTGCGCTTGAATCCTTCACCCATGATGGCGGCCGAGTCTAAATCACTGCGGAACCTTTGCATCTCTTCGCGCTGAAACTGCTCCGAGTGGAATCGTAAATAAATCTTCACACCCTCCCAGTTGACGATACTGATGGCAGTGTACTTCGGCTCTATGTAACTAATATTATCGCGGAAGTTCTCCGTGCAGAGGTCGTAGCTTCCGGAGAAGACGGCCAGCGGGTCGGATTTAGCTTTGGCCAATCGCCGCAGCTCGATGATGTGCTCAATCATCGCGTACTCCTCCAGACGTTCCTCCACAGCTCCAGTATCTTTCAACTTCTTCGGTTTCGGCAGCTGAATTTCATCCTCGATGATATCGTCGATGTCGCCGAAGAGCGCGCGGATCGTTCGCTTCTTCGGCTGCTTCTCGACTTCGTACGATAACGGCTCAAACTCGTCCTCGAAAGACTTTTGCGACTGGAACTTTCTCGATTGTTGGGACGAGCAGGCTCCGAATTCATCGCCGAACAATTGCTGCGACTGACCACCCTTCGATACCTGAGATTTCTGCGATACCGCCACCTCCGGGACCTGCTCGAAATCGTCATCGTCGAAGAGATCTTGAGACTCCGCAGGTTTTTCCTTCGCCACATTCAATTGTTTCCTCGCAGGCACCTCGTCGTAATCTGAAATAAGTTCAACAAACAATTATTATCATAACAATAAATTAACAACTTACAGGATCAACAGAAGCAATGACAGTTTAATCAACAACACTATTACTTAGCAACCAACAACATGGAAGCCACGAAAACAAATTGTAACGACATTCATTCAAATTTGATCGAAATATCAATTAATCAATGAATCAATTATAACCTTGATCTCGGAGGGCCTCCAGATCGTCGGCGTACATCGCCTCGAATTCATCGAACTCCTCGTATTCGTCCATGGTGGGAATCCAACACTTATTTTCAATTATAAATTGTACGATATAAATAATAAACGAGGACTATAAACAAACGACATTGTTCGTTTATATTAGGTTATTTAATTTGTTCCCAGCAAATAATTTCCCGCCAAAAACATCAGCTGCGAAAGAAAAGCAGCAAGTTATGTTAGGCCACCAGTAGTATACCGACCTGGTGGATTTTGATTGCGCTACCGCATTGTAGATGGAACAATCATAGGATTATTCAAATAATTAACATGCAAATAATCAATTTCATTTAAATAACATAGATTAAGGAACGTATGATAAATTTAGCGAGAAGATGCAACTTCGAGAAGGCAAATGAGGGCGCTGTTGTGGTGCCAACTTCGTTGCAGTTAATTATTGCAAAAAAAAAAAGAATGCGTTGTTGCTGCATAAAACAAAAAAAGAAGCGTCCTCGCGCCATTTTGAAATCGTCTCAATTTCTAACAAATTTGCGTCTTATTAAACCACAAATGTGAACGATACAATGCAAACTTGAATTAAAACGCATCGAATAGAAAAATTAACAAATTTAGAATATACAGCGGAGATGCGAACATTTTTATTTTAGTTACAAAAAGATGTAATTACTCACTGCGAATAACCAAAATCCAATTGGACTGTGATCTCTCATGATGGATTTCACGAAATACGGGATAATTCACTGGATTCGAATAGTTTACACAACAAATTTTGAATGTTCAAAACGGGAACACACTCAAAAACAACCGAGGCCAAACGACGACTGAGTAAGTCGCTCAGCGCAACCGCAGTTGCCAACTGATTCGAATTCAAACTTGCCAACTTGAAATCAAATTAGAAATTAAAATCGAACTTGAAGGTTCGCAGGTTTCCTATTGGAAATAGAATTTAACAAAATCACAATAATGTAAATAAGAGAAGAATAAATAATATAAATGTTTCGTATTGTAATAGAGAATTACAATAGATAATCAATAAAATCTATAATTGATATGAATTATAATAGTGCGTGCGTGTCTTGTGGGTGGCCTATATCAAACTCATGCTATATAATATATAGATTAAAACAAAATCATATGTTTATGTTAAATTACACAATAAACGTCAAAGTTGCATTAATATAAATATGCACTCATTGTTCTCTACAATTTTAACTTATATAATCATTTTTAATAGCACCTGGAGCTTCCATGGATTTCGTGTAATTTTATAAAATTTGAAGACGCGTTTAAAATAACTTTTCAATAATCAATTTTGAAAGTGTATTTGTACGAAAACTTTTTTAGTTGGAATGATTAACTTATACTTATTGTACTCTTTATAGTTGTAGCTTTAATTTTAGTATTCATTATCACCTGGACCTCTATCAGTTTTCGAGTAATTCGATAACATTTAAGTTAATGTTAACCGTGGATAAGTAAAATTTGCTTTAAAGGATAGCACGAAATGTAGAGATGATTAATTAAAAGTCGAGTGGTTATGATTGTGGATTGATGGACCTGGAGAGGTGTTCTAAAATTAGGTGAAGAAATTAGGTATTTTTAAACTCTCCGGTTCGAGTGGACGACGATGATGGTCATCATCGGAAGGTGGCATTCGCGATGTGGAAGTGGGCGGCGTTCGTGGCCTCCGTGGTGGGCATCATCCTCTGCGTCAGGATCATCCTCTGGGGCGAAGACGGAAGGGCCGGTCGGAGGACGAAGATCAAGCAGCACGTGCCCAAATTCATGCTCGATCTTTACCATCAGAGCAGAAACGGAAGCGACGGCCCCGACGTCGTGCGCAGCGTCATACCCAAATCTTCGGGAAGTCACGAAGATGACGACGACGATGATGATCACGACAAACACTACTTGATCTTCGACGTTCCCAGTGCGAACGAGGACGAAGAGTTCTTCAGCGCGGAGCTCAGAATACTCACCGTCATGGACGAACGCAAATCTCAAAGTAATCTGTTTACACTCACCATGACAACAACAAAATATAATAACAATTCAACCATTGCTATGGTGAATTCTATAAAGTAATGTGCTTACACTGAACACAATGACAAAAAATACACAGTTGCTATGGTAAATTCAATAACTACAAATATAATTAACGATTAATTCATTAATTATTTAACACTAGTCAAAACATAAATATGTTTTTAATTTATCCGTTGCTATGGAAATAAAATTATTTATTTATATAATGAAGAATTTAACGTTATCATAGCAACCAAAACACATGAATCCACCATTTTGTTTACTCCGTCGTTATTGTGAATTGATTTTGTTTTCGTTTGTCATTTAGCATTAGAAAAACTATTGAAACTGTCGATCTACGATCACGCGGACGGCGATTTGCTGTATCTGAACCGATTCAGAATACGACCGTCCAATAACACGTGGCTCTCCATCAATTTGACGAATCCGGTCGAAGCTCTACTGTCACGTGACGGTAGCGGCCATTTGAAGGTGGTGCTCTCGCTGGAAGCGATAAAATTGACGTTGCTCCCAGAGGACGACGTCCACGGCGAGCACAGCTACCCCGTCCTGCTGTTATCCTACAATTGCCATGGTAACCCGAGGAGGAAACGCTCGTTGATTGAATTCGAGGACGACGGAAAGAGGAAATCCAAGTACAAGAACGGTTGCAGGCGGAGACCGCTTTACGTCGATTTTGCAGAGATCGATTACGACAGTTGGATCGTCCAGCCAAGTGGTTACGAAGTAAACTTGATTAGTTAATTTTAACTTGATTATTTCAACATTTTTTCTTCAGGCGTTTCAGTGCGTGGGAAAGTGCTTTTACCCGTTGACCGATCATCTGACACCAACGAAACACGCGATCGTCCAATCCTTGGTGCACAGTATATCACCTCTGAGGGCCACCAGGTCCTGCTGCGTTCCAACCAAGCTCAACCCGATTTCCATTCTCTACGTAGACGAGCGCGGCGTCCTGACGTACCGGTACGCCTACAAGGATATGGTCGTTGCAGAATGCGGATGTCGATAATTCACATATATTTCAAATAAAATATAGCTTTAATTTACACCCTATACTAAAGTAATCATAATTCAAGCGTCCCTAGTAATCACGATAGCAACCGAAACGAATTTGTACAAATTTCATGTAACTATGGCAACGATGACAACCCTTGAATTTTATGTGCAATAAAATTACAAGCAACCCAAAATACACATGATAAGATATCTGCCTATATCAAATGACTGTTACATAATAATTATTATTTTTTTTATAATAAATCAATGAAATGCAATTCTAATTACAACAAGAAAACAATAATACAACAACAAAAAATGCATTATTATAAATAATCAATGTTATAATTAAATCGTAATACAATTAAAATTTGCAGGCAACTCTTATAGCAAATTGCCTAACTCGTGTTTTTTTTTAATTGGATTCGATTGGACGTCACGAAAATCAAATAATTAATTTAGATTTGATGACGCTCACTCGTTTAATCCCACACAATCTAATTAAAATCAATACGTTCGTACTCGCATCACGATATAATTTAATTTTTCATAAGTTTGTATTTGAATCCTTCAAATTAGTCAATAATAATGATCAATATCTTTGAATAAATAAGATTTTTTTTTTAATATTTATACATAATTCAAATTGAAGAAAATGTTTATTTATAAAATAACGATTTTTTATTGAGGGCAATTGAAGTGTGCCAGGATGCGAATTGATATTGCATATCATGCGCGGCTGATTAAAAACAATTGCTGTTGCTTTTGTTTAACAATGAAAATGTTAAACGAGTGGACGTCAAAAGTTGAGTCTGTTGAAGAGAAACATTCAATTTGTGCGTAAAATGAAGATCAAGGTGAGAATTTTTACAAAAATTTTATTTAGTTATTAAATGAATTAGGATTGTAATATTGAAGTAATTGATTTTGCAAATTAAGATGAGGTTGGATGGAAGTTTGGTTACAAACAATTGATGCTGTTTTGTTTGTGAGGGAGGAAACTTTGAAATGTGAATATCTAATTTGTGCGTTCGAATCAGGTGAGAATTCTAATATTCTAATAATTTAATGTGTTTTTCTTTTAATTACTAATTACGGTTATTAGTGTTTTATTATAGTGGTCCCAGTTGGTAACAAACAATTGATGGTGTTTTGTTTACAATGGGGGCAACTTAAAAATGCGTCACGTCAAAAGTTGCGGGTGAAATGAATCGATTTTCTGACGCGTAAAGCGATGCCGAAAACAAGAGTGATTCACGTTTGTTGAACAGGTGAGGTGTTATTTTCTGTTGTATGAATTAAATAGTAATTATTGTTATTGCGTTTAGAGTGAAGAATTGTGTTAGTTTGTTGCTGTTTTGAATGGGAATTTCGAAATGCGAATGTCAAAAGTTGGGTGATCGTCGTTTTATTGAATTAGGTAAGAATGAAAAGCTCTTTTGTTTCAAGTGGATGAATATTGTGTGTGTTCGCAGTTGCGTCAATGGGGGTGCGTCGTTGTAGTGGCGTGATCTGTGACAGGGGGGGTGGTTGTTGGCAGGATGAGACCACGTGGTCTTCGATCCACGAATGTCTTGTTTCATGGGGGGTGGGGTTCGATTGTATAGGGAAGAGGGAGAGTGCGGGTGAAGGGGTGACGCGAACGTCACCTGCTTGATATCGATCGGGCCGGCCCCGGGGCCTCGGTGACGTCATCGAATCTTTCGTTTGGACGGGGTGCGCCACCAGCGCGCAAAACATCCCTCACCGCATTCGCCCGGCGCGGAATCAAATAAGCAATAAAGCGCAGAAACGAAGACCCGAGAAATCCAACTTTTGCTGCTGTTGCGAAGAGGAAGAGTTTTTTTGAGAAAATCGGGACGCGAATGGAGGAGACGATCGTGTTGTCACGAAATGAGAGGGTGTCTTCGGCAAGGAACGAGGGTGAGTTTGCGCATCGAAGGGTGCTCCGTGTTATTCGGTTCGGTTTCTTGGGGCTTTTTTCCCAACTAGTACGCTCCACGGACCCCGGGGCGTCCGAAGCGTTTTACTCCACATAAAATTTCACCCGGTGATCAAAAAAGGTGATCCAAAGCAAAGATTATGTGTAATTCGAGTGTTCATATTGAGGATTTTAGGGACTGATTCTGTGCAGGTGAGAGGAGAACAACAATTTCAGATGGGCCTTTATCGATTGCGGCGCTCTACGCTATCCGACAATTGATTTTTTTTTTCATTTACGTCGCGGCGCCCCGTCATCTGATTACTACTACATTATTCGAGCACGTCACGAATTATTCATTCATCACGTTTCCTCTTCATTCCTGCGACCTCTTTATGCATAGGTTTTTTTTTTATATTATTATTACCATCGTCTTCGTCTTTTTTTACCGTACCATTTTACAACTGTTCTACAACGTCTTGTCTCTGTTTCAGGTGGTTCCTGAGGTGTTGTCCTTTGTTATTCCAATTGTGTTTTTCTGTTTGGTTTCCATCCGAGTGCGCGTTGCAAGTGCGTGAGATTCTATTGATATCTCGTTCAAGTGTGCGTGGGTGTTGAAGGGGGAAAAAGTGCCGTGCCATATGTCCGGAATACGGAATTAACGGAAATCGAGGCACACGAAACTTTGTTTCATTTTATTTCTTTTTTTCCTTTTTCGTAACGACCGTTTTGGGCAATTTCTGTGGCCGCACGTAATCGCACGTAGTAGCAGCAGGAATCCACGCGGGCCACGGGGATGTTCCTTTTCGACTTTCTACTGAACGTGACCAGAGTCACGATGGATCTGGTACATAAATTCGACGTATTCTCATTTCGTAAGTATACATTTCCTCTAACCAATGTTTATTTGTTTTTATTAACAGCAGGGTTTAATTTATAGTTAAGATTAGTTTGAAATGAAGCTTTAAGTATTTACAGCGAAAGTTTGGTTGCATACACATCCTTTCGCAGTATTTTCGTAATATATTGTAAACACTAGAATCATTTCAATAATCGATAGTTAATATACAAAAAGGAATCTAAAGTTTACTTTGAACAGCGTCATGTTTCAATTAAGTGTTCAACGCGATACAAATACATTTGTAAATACAAAATGGGAAATCATTTGTAAAATGCGGACAGATCTACAGTTATTACCGTTGATTAATTCAATCGAAGCAAGTTGCAGTTGAAAGCATTTCATGCAGGCAACGACGATAAATGAAATTTGCTTACGGAATCGTATGCATATTTATGTATCTCGCATTTAACTTAATCGCTTTTGTCTGTTTTGGGTTTAATTTTTGTAGACTAAACCCGTATCCTTTTCAACCGCGTCCATTGGTATCTATCTGTCGGACGATAAATCCGTTTAAATGCGTTTCTTCCACGCTTTTTGATCTCGTGCAATGTGAATGAAAGCGCGTATACGTTTTGAGATCCTATTTTTTTTTATTTGTATGCGGCTCGCTTCACCTTGCGGGTTAATTTCGGTCGCTCATTCAAGGCTCCAAAATGTGTAAAAATACTCTCTTCATTAATTATAACTCGTGAAGCTCGTGAATATTCAAACAGATTCACTAAACTTTGACTGTTTGCTTATGCAAAATAGTTATTAATGTTCTACATAGAAAAACAAGTATAAAACTATTAGACATGAATGCAATTTATTCATAATGAAATGTTTCATTTACTAATTTATGATGCAAAATCATTTAGAAATTATTTAAATTTAAATCAATTATTCCACAATTTATAGTGTTTCGTTTCGTCGGTAGAACTAATTATTTTATTATACGCGAATCGCGTAGGTAACAACAAAAAAAAAACAGATTTCATCTGGATAGTCTAAAACAAAAGGCTATTGACCCAAGTCCCTCCGCCCACTCGATTTGTTTTTTCTGATCGTTCTTTTGCTCGATCGATGTATTAGATTTAATGTTGAATAGTTTAAATGAAACAACGAATCGTTTATTTCTTTTTTTTCTTCTTTGCATTTGTTCGGTCACGCAATAACGTTTGTAAATTGCAAATAGAGTGAAGAGTGGCAGAATTAATGAGTAAATTATTGAAATTTGCAAAAGCAATCTTTGATCGCAGTCGAATCTACGCAATTTTCCATATCGGAAATGGGGAAAACGCCTTAAACGAATAACAGATTAGCGTAAATTGGTCGTGTAATTTAATTTAAGTTCGATGCGTTCTGAGAAAAAGAAAATAACGAATAATGTCGTCGTTGAAATTGATGTGGATTTCGTTCGGTTCGCACTTTGCACCCGAATAAAGAAAATCACGAAAATGACGAAGATGGAAAGAGACTGTTGTGACGAGTTTAGATAAGGTCCGATGAGAAACAACAGACGAAACTCAAAATCCGTTTGGTGTTCGGCTCGTGCGTATTCAAATCTACGACACTGACTAATCTAGTAACAAATAGTTGAGGCGAATCGAGAGTGCATACAGGTGAATATGGGAGTTATTATTTAGTTTTAAGTAAATAGTATAAGTTTATTTCAAAATGAAAGCAATGCAAAGAGTTTTTCAATTGATGATTATAAAGAAGTGGACCTATTTTCATTCGAATAATCAAAACGTTAAGTAGCAGATGTTGTGTATTAATCGATGATACGCACGAAAGTATTTTAAATTAGAAAGCCTCTTGGAAAAATAGCAATTTAACGAAATGGTTTTTATAAGCGCAAAATTAGTTACTTGAGTGGATTAAAAGCGTTAGTTACACTTTCTTTGAGTTTAATTGATTGATTTTAATTGTACGTTTCCATTCGGTATGGAATTGTGACACACGCAACATTATCATCTCTGATTCGAATTGTTTTCGTGTTTACGTTGTTACTAGATTGTTTATGTTATTTAGTTAATCGAATTGCGAATAATAAAATTGAACCAATTGGTGATAAATGCCAAGAGTTAAAAATAGATGCGTGTGTACACGAGCACACTTTAGATAACGCATAGAAAAATTCTATTGCAAAAGATAGATATAAAATATCGCTTCGCTTTTCATTTGATAGATTTCGGTGTATTATTTCATTTGTATTATTATTTTTGTAAACAATTTGTTTAGGCTTCGAAACTATAATAATATTTGGAAATGTCTCCTCTCTCTTTGTCCAAACGGAAGATAACGAAAATGTTATAATACAAAGTATTACATCGTTATCCGAAAACCCCACTTAAATACATCAATTCTTTATAATGCACTTTACACTTGACCCATTAAGTAATCGACGCGTTTCGCGATTAGATTGGATTACGTTCTGTTTACTGTTTACGTTATGGGAAAAACGACGGCAGCAGAATCTGAGGAACACCCGATGTTCTTCCTGCCATCCAATTTGAATAGAAAATTTCGAATTCCGACTGAACTAATCGCAAATAGAACGTAACTTATTGTCAGATTTAAGTGTTACGAACGTGCGTGCGATCGCTTTCCCGACGACAGATGGCATCGCGTCTGCCGATTTACGCAATGCATTTCTCGTTTTGCAAATGATACGTTTTCAGGACTTTATATAAATATTACTTATTTTATTTGAAAATCAATGTTTATTTCATTGCTATATTTACGAATGCACGAAATAATAATAATAACGTTGCTATCGCAACTTAAAATAAACGAATCTAAAAATAGCGCTCTTTTGTTTGCGCAAACGAATTGTTTATATACTCGATAATACGTGGCTTTTACTTTCGTTTGTTTCATTTGTTTGACCACAGTTCACGTCATCGCGCCGCAGATCCGACGCTTGCGTCTCCATGGAGATGACGAATTTTGGATGTTGCTCTTTGTTTATGCGTAGGAGAGGCCAGGGTCGGATCTGCGTTTTTCTTTGTTGGATAGGGGGAGGAATTGTAAATGAAAATGAATACGCGCGCGAATTGCGTGCATATGTGCAGACAGCAGAATTTCTCAAACATTCCGAATTGTTTCTTTTTTTTCTTTTTTAGTCGCGCCGACCGAAAGAGTTATTTTTGTGTGAGAGTAAGTCTGCGTTGCGTGTGTCGTCCCCGACGAAGGAGGAGAAGGAGACCAAAATTTGCCACAGCTTTTTTTTGTTGACGGTTGTTGTCCTGTCCTCCGAAGGAAAGAAAGAAGGAAAAAAAAATCGTTTGCAACCGTTCGAGCTGACCGCGGATCGTCCAGGGGCACAGGCTGTGTGTTGTTTATACAATCCTGTGAGGAGTGCGGTGCGAATGCGAGGAGAGTCTCAATGAATGTGTGCAAATAGTCAGATTTGAAGCGGCAAGGACGAAGGATAAAAATACACTCGACGGCAGCAGCAAAACTAAATTTATAAGGAGAAAAAAAAGTGGAAGAGGAGTAAGAAGAAACGTCGGTAGCAGCAGCAGCAGCAACAGAAACGGAACATCGTCAACGGCGGCAGAAGAAATGGAGAAACTGGCATCATTGAGTGAGTATTGACATACAGACGGAGGATGCCATTCGCGTCGTATTTTTGTTTCGCATCGAACGATGAGCGTCGCGACGCCCCTTCTAGCGAATATCGGCGCACAGTACGCAGGTTATGTACGTTGGACCACGTGGTTCGCGAGTCGGCTGACGTCGCGTTATACCCACCGACGCCTCTGGCGCCATAGCATGAAACGTATCCTACCTCTCACCTGAGAGAAAACACGGCAACCCACTTTGCATACTCCATTAACCATTAAGCCTGTCATTTCTTTTGCAAGTTACTTGGCAAGTACCGCGTAAAGTAATCTACCTACAACTAAGTTTACAAGCTAGTTATTATTAGAAAGGACGCATCATTCATGAAAGGAAATTGTTTGTAAACCATTCATTTCATTTGAATTTAGTTAATGGGATTTACATAATTCGAATATTATACTACTTCGATAATTTATTTCAATTGAATTGATATGGACATTGATATTTTAATTAATTCACATCATTTTGAATTTAGTATTTTCAATGTAAAAATATACAATTAAAATACGACAATCAAGTAGTTGCGCGATTTATTGATTTATTCAATTAATTGTTATTGTTTCAACTTTGAACTACACGATTTAACAATTATGTTTGAACTTAACAAATGGAGGAGATCAGTGAATTGTTTAATTTTTTCGTCGTGTGCTGCAATTGCGCAATCACAAGTTACAGTTTCACTTCTAATAAGCAGTTTCCGTATACAAATGTGTCGATCGTGACAGTTTACAAGTACGTGAAAATGTACAGTTTTTGTTGTTGTTGTAAAAAGATTTCAACTTTCCAAAATTTCTCTAAAACTGTATGCACTTAGAACAATAGTATTAATACAATCATATTGAACGAATTTGATACGTCCAAATCGTTTTCAACTTCGTTAGTGATGTAATCTTTATATTAGTTAATGTCGACAAACAAAGTGTTAATCTGTAGAATTGTGCCATTAATCATCGATGTTACAAATTAGTATTTTGGCTCATGATGATGTGCAATATGTTTGGGTGATCGGGGAAGCAAAGAAACGAGTTGTAAAATAGTATTGGCACCTTTCGTATCGTGTCGTGCGTCCGTCTGTCCCGTTCAGCAACGAGAAGCGGCAGGCTACTACATCCTGGTGCAGTTTCTCCTAATAATTTATGTCGGCAATTTGCTTTTGCTGATAAATCGCCGACGATAAATCGATGAAATTTGCGTTTCAGAGTGCACAGTTATGTCGCAAGTTTCGCGCGGTCGTTGCTTTTCCTCGCTTGTTTTGTTCCTGTTTACGTTTTTGTTTCACTTTGTTTCCTTTTGTTTATGTTTCTTCTGTTTCTGTTTGGTCTTCGCCTGTCGCTTATTATCAACGCCGCCTGCTAGAAATCTGCA